TCTTCTAGGAGGCTAGGATTTTGAAGCTCTATCTTCTCTCCCCTAACTGAGCAATATTTTGTTTTATTGTATATAGGGTCTCTATGAGTTAATGGTTGGCTACCCAATGCAGACAGAGAGTGGGGTGGAGCTCCCCGATTAAAACAAGCTTGGAAGGAGGAGTGGCATCCACTTCCATAATAGCTTGCCTCCAGAAACCCTATGAACCTGGAGAGAGGATGAAAGGCACCCAGGCGTCGAGGACTCTCCTTCATAGGGTTGCTATGAGTTGCCTGCGACTCGACGGCACTTAACAACAACAACAATAACAATCTTCTCTCCCAGAAGGGACTGATCCTTGGAGAATGACATCATGCTTGGAAGGATGGAGGGACAGCATAGGAGAGGAAGACCCCAGATAAGATGGATTGATACAGTGACTGGGGCAATGGGGGTTGGTGTTTCGGAATTAGTGAAACGGACTCAGGACAGGGCATGCTTCAGAGCTGCTATACATAGGGTCGCTATGGGTTACATGTGTTTCTATGGCACATAATAACAATAAACAACAGTGGTAAGAAACTGCTGCAAACCCAAACACACACCATTTTAGTCTACAGCTGTTCTGCGAGAAAAAGATGGGCAATCTCCTCCCATACAATTAACTGTCTCTGAAAACCCACTGGAGGGTCAACTGTAGGTTGTTTCTGACCCCAGGCTACTCAGCAACCACCACATCACAAAAGAGGTATGCATGCAGCAAGTGAAGGTGATTTTGATGAAGGCTTTGTTGTCAGTGGCGTTTGGCTCAGTTAGGCCATAGTAAAAGTACACTTGCATACTCTGAAAGCAGGGCTTCCAGTGTGGTGGCACGGTGATTGCAGGTGGTGCTTTCAATGTGTGTAGCTCCCCACTGTCCTATCAGTAATCCAGCTTCGTGAGTTAGGCTTCTGAAAGGACTCGCTATACCTCTTCCACGTCTCCCAGCCCAGGGTTTCAGCTTGTCAGTTTCCCCATTTCAGTTACCGTGACAGGTCACTCGAATGCTAAATATCCTAGTATGCTCTCGTTTTCATTTTGTTGCCTATGGCAAGACCAGGTCAAAGCACTGCATTGAAGGGCAAATCAGAGTTACCTGCAAGCTGAGCATTCTTAACCTGGAACTGCCTGTGAATGAATTCCTGACCTGTTCCTCTCGGCCCCTTATGCATAACAAACCCATTGCAACTGGGTGGAGTCTGACTCATAGCGAACCTCCTTTGTGCCGCTGATCCTTATGGGATCAGATGTTCATGTTTCCCTGCTGGCTCATGGGTGAGTTTGAACCACTTACCTGTCACTTAGCAGCTTGATGTGTTACACACTGTGCTACCAGTTTTCCTGTATATATAAGCAGACAGGAGGACAACCTGTTGCCTTTAAGTTGAGTCTAACTCATCATGGCCTTCTACTGGATTTCTGAAGCTCTAATTCTTCACGGGACAGGGATGAGGCTGTGGTGGGAACTACCCATCTTTCTCCTACAGGCTGGGTTGTTGTTGTT